CATTATACACCTAGTAAATAGTAAAATTATGTTAATTTTGGTGCTTTCGTTTTTCCATTCATATTCAATACTTAAGTGAGATCATTTTAATTTGTTATTTTAAGAATTACTTATATATTTGTAAGTAATATACATTACATATGCATATACAATGGGTTGATTATTAAAATCTTCAAATATATCACGACTAAAAGAAAACACTTAAATCTCAAATATCTGTTTTTTTAATAAAAAAATGGATTGAAATAGCACCTAGACAAATTTCTCATTCGCTCATATTTACTTCAACACAAATTTGCCTGAAACCAAAACAACTTAAAGGTCTATCTCCTCCCATATAGTAGTAAGTAAAAAATTAAAAAAACTTTAATATACAGGGTGAGTCTTAAATAAGTGCAAATATTTTTAGAGGTGGTATATTTCCACATAATTTGGTGCCCGGTGGCGTAGAGGTACCGGGTGGCCAACTAAAGGCTGATTCATGGTACACCGGGCCGTACCCGAGCCGGGCACGTTCCGTAAAGTAGACACCGAGCCACGTCCGGGCCTTCAATATATGCTACACCGAGTGGACAACGGGGATCATGTCCGTGCCGATTATATTCTAGAAAACAGTGTTGCCGCAGTGGTACATTTGTACCAAATTTAATACTTTTAATTCTATTTGGTACAGTGGTACTACATTTTCAAATCCAGGATGATTTGGTACAATAATTATTTCCCACGCGCACCGAAAATGAATAGATATTTAATAATTATTGTCGTTGATATTGCATTAAACGCGCTTACCGATACCATTCGGAGATAATCCGCATTAATTAACGACGTATTATAAACGTTGTAATGTCTATAGCGTTGCCTATATTAAATAACCCGAAGAAAAAACTTGAAAATTTACTGTTTCTAACATGCTTCTATATTTGCGTTTTTTTTAAATAAAATTTAAGTTTTCCAAGTATTGTGTGTAGTATTAGAATTACTTAGAATTCTTCAACCTATACATACTTATAATTGGGTTTTCTGAATTTCTATTTCATGTTTTTCGTCTCGATTTGTGTCTTTCTCCAGGAAGTTTTTTTATGTAGAAATTTATGAAGAAATTCACAGCGACCAAACCGGTTAAAGTATTTGCAGATGTATTTTGTTGTGCTTTAAAAAATTGTACCAAAGTGGTACATTTTTAGTTTATAATGTGGTACGCGCTAAAAGTTGGGTGCGGCAACACTGCTAGAAAACAGTCGCTATAGGCCCGTAGACGAACGAAGTATTTAGCCCGGGCGACTCATTTATGTTTGCCGCAACGGGGCCAAGTATAAATAACATTTGACAATGTTTGGCCGTGCCTTCACCGTCGCACGGCCCCGGCCCTTCACGGTGTACCATGAATCAGCCTTAAGAATGGACGCCGGCTATATCTCAGAAACTACTTATCGTATAACTTTGGGAAAAAAATTCTAATAAGTAAATCGACCAAGAGAAATCGCTGAAAATTATTTTCAAGTTCGAAAAATACCCGCTAGGGGGCGTTTCTCTAAGAGCCAATCGGAAAACAGGGTTTTTCTCAAAAATATGCAGGTGAACAGGTATTTTAAATATTACTATTGTAATCATCGAGAAATTTGTAATTTTTATGATATAGAGTATTTTGCTCTATCTCATAAAATAAAGTGATGGGGGAAGGTTAAATTTGCTTTTATTAAAATAAGGGTAACTCTGGTTTAGGTTACGCGATTTAAACAAACTAGGGCTCATTTAAAAGAGCTTTTCTTCCTTAATGATCTCCAGTATAAATTTTGTTTCTACAATTTTCTTCGTGGTAGCTAGAGGGCGCTGTTTGACATCATAACAGATATTGCGCTTTTGCGTAAAAAAATTAAATAGGAGGCTATACTTCTCTTTGCACAGTTAAATAGAGCACAAAATTTCCAAAATATCAGCGCAAACCGCAACTTTCTATCTTCTCTCTAACCGGAGATATTAAGAGAACAAATCATGTTAGGCTGCGGCTTAGCATTATATGGTCTTAAAATTATAGTGGTAGGCTAGGAAACAAAAAGAGGTAAATTGGTTACGTCAAAATATCAAAACATATATTTTAATATCATTCTAATTTAATTATTATTTATCCATGTTCGTTCTTGATTCGACCCCATAAATTAGAACCCAGGCGATTCCAGCGATTTCTCTTGGTCGATTTACTTATTAGAATTTTTTTCCCAAAGTTATACGATAAGTAGTTTCTGAGAAACAGCCGGCGTCCATTCTTAGTTGGCCACCCGGTACAGTTCTCGTCTACCAATATAAAGGTTGTGGGTTCAGATCCTGCAACTGGCAGTTCATAAGCCGATAATTAATCAAATAAAAATAGTTTGGGTACCTAGAAGAGTAGTGCTAGCTACATTACCTACATTATACCGATCGGCTCTAACATAGGAGCTATTATTATTATATTTCAACACCAGAAACACGTCTATGAGCTTTTTCGTGAATTTTTTTTTTAATTTTTACTTTTTGGGGTTAAATTTTAAGGTAAAAACATAATATCTTGATATTATGGCAACATAGATTAAATTTACAAGAAAGAAAATATAGAAAAAAATCAGTGGTTCTCAAAATTTAAACAAAAATATATTTTTTTTAATTTTCTAAGTAAAATAATTCGGTTATTTTGGAGTTATTTGAAAACCTTTTTACTAACCATGGCTTCAGTAATCATCAGCAGATGAGAAAAGTTTTTAATCACCCGTTGATGACGCTAAAGGTTGGTTCTCACTATACCTTCCTTATCAGCTCCCTTTAGTTTCCCTTCCGTTTACATAAAATATTATATCATGTAAATGAATAGGACAATGCACACTACCCGTTCCGTTTCCCTTCCGTTCCATATCCGTTCCTTCCATACATTTTTTTTGGCAGACGGACTGAAGCGTATCGGAAACAGCGTTGTCAAGTTCTTACATTTGTACCACCACTGGCACTGTGAACATTTTGCTAATATTTATTTATTATTTCACCCCTTAATTAAATCTATTACCTTTTTCAAAATATAACATTCTTTTAATGTTCAAAATTTCAATATACAAATTTTTAAAATAAAACTTTCGTAATGATATAAATTGTACAGGGTGGGTCAAATTCGACGCTTTTAAATGGAAACACCCTTTTCTATAGGAGATAGCCAAAAACTAATATCGGTGTCTGGAGCTCAATTTTTGTCAAAAACATGATGGTGAAAACCGCATATCGATATCTGTTACCGTTTCGGAGTTACGGGATGTTTTTCAAAAATATGCATTTTTAACAAATCACTGTAACTTTTTGCTATGGAAAATTTTGTATTTTTATGAAAACATTTCCAAAGCACCTTTTTACGTAGAATTTAATGGTTTAAGTATAATTTTTTTAAAATTAATAATTTAAGAATTATCAAACAGAAAATTTGATTTTTTATATGGGACACCCTGTATATTTTTAATTTATTGAAAAGGATTTAAAATTACCTTTCCAAAAATATAACACACTTGATATTTTGCTCGATTCCTCTTCGAGATATAGAGTATATAAAAATTCGCCCGCTTTAAATAAGTAGGCTTTGAACGGCACCGGCTGTAATGCAAAAAAATTCTAGCTGTGAGTATCAATTAAAACGAATATAATTAATAAAAATAAAAATTATTTGCTATGAAAGATGCAGAATTTTATAACAATTTAGCCAACATCAACACATTTAAACTATATCTAATAACAATAAATATAAATAGCAAACCAAGACATGAGATTTTGCTACAGGTGTTCGACATATCAACCTTATATCTGTTATGGACAGACGGGGCAGTTTTTGAACATTTCTCGCGGAATTCATTGACTCAGGGGGTGAAAGATACCCTTTCATAACTGCTAAGTATTCTTAATTCTTGTCTAGATTATACGGAAGAATAAGGAACATTTATTCGCAAATATATCCATAGGATTAGATTCATGGGCTCTCTTCAGTGAGGCGGCCTCGACGGCCAACGGCTGGGATCTTGGTTAGCTATCCAATTATTCTTGAAATTGGCTGCAAAAATTTGCTAATAACTTCAGCGTTCAGAGGCGGTGCATCGTCTTGCTGGAAAAATATGTTTTCGAGTTCCATTAAGGGATATCATCAATAAGGGGTCCAAAGCCTACTAATTAAAAGTGGCGAACTTCTAAAAATTCTGTATTTCGAAGGGGATAATAACAAAATATCAAGTGTGCTATATTTTTGGAAAGGTAATTTTAAATTCTTTTCAGTTAATTAAATATATAGAGGGTGTCCCAAATAAAAAATCAATTTTTCTGTTGATAACTCTTAAATTATTAATGTTAAAAAAATTATACTTAAACCATTAAATTCTACGTAAAAAGATGCTTTGGAAATGTTTTCATAGAAATACAAAATTTTCCATAACAAAAAAATTACAGCGATTTGTTAAAAATGCACATTTTTGAAAAACACCCCGTAACTCCGAAACGGTAACAGATATTGATATGCGGTTTTCACCATCATATTTCTGATGAAAATTGAGCTCCAGACACCGATATTAGTTTTCGTCTATCTCCTATAGAAAAGGGTGTTTCCATTTAAAAGCGTCGAATTTGACCCACCCTGTACAATAAAAAGTATGGAACTGATACGGAACGGAAACTTACGTATAGCGTCAATACAATAAAAAATACGGAACGGATAGGGAATGGATATGGAATGGAAACGGAAGGTATAGTGAGAATCAACCTTTATATGGTTAGCAAAACGCGCGTCCAATGTGAAAAGTAATGTGTTTTAGTGTATTGAGTGGTGAACTAGTTTCTATTTTACTGTTGTAAAATAGACACCAAAAGTTCCATCCCCAATTGTATTTTTCCAGGTTTTAAACTTGGTGTATCTCTTCAATATTTAATCTAATAATAACGAACATTTCCTAATGGTTTTAATATTTGCTAAAAGTTATATATCTTATATACTCTTTTGTTTCCAGAAACCGAAATAAATCATGAGGGAAGTGGAAGCTAGAGGTGGATTTGGTAAGTAAAATATCTGAATTGTTTTTAGTAATATATCAAGAACATAACATTAACAAAAACTAATTTAATCATTGTGTTTTGAATTTCACCTATAAAATTGTTAGTAAGTTTTACAAATTTGAAGGGCTACTACTGGGACTGGGGCTGCTAGGGGTCAGTTTTATTACGTTGGGTTAATCTTGAACTAGTTGTTAATCTTGAGATTTCCTATCAAAGTCAGTTTTATGGATTGTGTTGAACACTAAAAAACAGTTTAAAATTTAAACTTGTGTATAGGCAATGTCTGGTTAAGAAACTACAATCTGAAGATTTGCGTTTACGGAGAAATAATTGTATTAGTTTATCCTATTTTTTTCGTTATCTCAGTCTATTTGTTTATTTCACTCAAATTATGAAATGACATGAAGGGTTGGCTCTCTATTTGAAGTATCTATTTAATAAATTATCATAATATATCTTTAGTTATCATCAATAGTCAACTACGTATTAATTTTTAAGCTGTTCTATGTACAGACTTTTTGACATCTATTCCTTTATTATACAGGGTGTCTCAAAAATAAGTGCAGATATTTTAACTGGTAGCTGTGCTGGTAGTATATTTCGACCCCAGAAACACGCCTATGAGTTTTTTTCGCGAAAAAAAAAATCGAAAATTTGGAATTTAAAAAAAATGGATTTTTTTTAGTTTTTAGTTAAAAACATCATTTCTTAATAATATGCAGCATAGGTAGTAGATTAAATTTACAAGAAAGAAAACCCAGAAAAGATAGAGTGGCTCTCAAAATTTAAGTGAAAAATTGTTAGAAAGAAAAAAGAATTGTTAAATAGAAAGCAAACATTTTTTTTTGGAAATTTTCAAAGTAAAATAACTCGGTTATCTTGGACTTATTTGCAAAATGGAAAAGAGAAAATATGTTTCCTTTATCGAGATCTTCTTCTTCTTTTTTCTGCCTCATCAGATGGTTCTATTAACTGCAGCGACCTGGAGTGCTTGGAAGTCCTGTATACCTGTCCAATGACGAATATTTCTCAGTCAGGATAGCTTCCTTCGGCCTATTCCCCTTTTGCCCCCCTCTATTTTACCTGGAGAATCAGACGCTGTAAGTGATAGCGTTCTCTACGTAGTATGTGTCTCAAATAAGCTATTTTCCTCTTCTTGATGATTTCGAAGAGTTCACGTTTTTCTAGACCAGCTCTTCTGAGAATGTCTTCATTCCTCACACGATCGACCCGGGGCACTCTTAGCATTCGTCGTAGGGTCCACATTTCGAAGGCTTCAATTCGGTTTATTGTTGCTACCTTCAGTGTCCATGCTTCCACAACATAAAACAAAACGGACCAGATATAGCACTTTACCATTCTGTATCTAAGGCCGAAGTTCAAGTTCCTATCTGTGAGATATCTTCGCAGTCACAGAAAAGTAGATCTTGCTTGTTCGATCCTGCATTTATCGAGATCTACCACCCCTTAAAATATTTGCACTTATTTCTGGGACAGCCTGTATGTATTTACATTGATTATATTACTCATACTAATTACCAGTTAAGGGTCAATAATTTAGAACATGCTCTTAACCATCCAGGGAAAAATAAAACTATTATTCATAGGTTTTCTCCCCCCAAGTTGCACCAAGCAAAATTTACAGAATTATTTTAAGTCTGCAAACTTTGCCCCGAATCATCAACTTTTAAAAATACAAAACTAATATTCTATGTTAAAAGTTAGTTATTACTTTTGTTAGAAGTGCATATTTAACCTTGTTTTGGAAATTTTATTGTGAATTCATAACAGAAAACAATTATGAATTTGGCAAACAAATTTCTTAATAATAATTTGGCAATAATTCTTTCTAAAATTGAACGAGTAAATTATCCGCAAATTATTCAATGGAAGTCAAAGATATAAAATGTATTGTTAGTTTTGTTGATCTATATCAAAATTTGCGGTAGAAAACCAGAGTTGATCTAAATTAGGATTTTTATTTCTCGAATCGTCGCTATTTTTAAATAAATTAACCAGATTTTATAGTCGGTGGTTTAATTATAGAATTCGTATTCGCGATGTGTTCTACTTTCTTTTTGCGACAAAAACCAAACAACATAAATATAGGTATGCGGGTACGCGTTAAATTGTTTTTAAAAACATGTGACATTTTGTTATGAAATATACAGAATACTTATTTTGTTAACTAACGATTTTCTTGGCCATCTTACGAAAATACCGTATGATCGAATAAAAAACGGCGTCAAAGACGGCTGGGGAAAGACAATCGATAATAATTATGGCGGGGCAATCTTTAGACGTTTTTTTTTCAATTGACATAAAACTTCTCAATAATTAACACTAATTATACAATGATTAAGAAATGACAGAACGTTTCCAAACACACAAATCTATTTCCAAAAAAATATTTTTTCTCGAATTTTAAACTACACCATTTAAAAATTATTTTTAGTCAGTATAAAAATTAATTACAACCTTTGGCAGTAAGCGCCATTGAAAAATAGCGAAGAGTACAGGCTAAGTAAATGACGTCTAGGGCTTGACCTCGCCAAAATTATCTTTCCCTAACCGTCTTTGACGCCGTTTTTTATCATATGGTGTATTTTTTTACATAAAACACTAAAATTTCAGTTTTTTACCATAAGCAATTCTCCACAAATGTCTACTTTTGTGGAGACCTTTTTGTGTTGGACAACCTCATTTATCGCGAATAACCCTGTATACTTTGTAAAAATGGTTAAATACAGTAATATACTTTTAAAAGTAATAGCGGTTTAAAGATGATTTTTTTGATATAGTTTATTATATTCTAGGTAAAATATCCTCTCGATACCTTCTTGCAATACTGGGTTCCATTGGTTTGGGTATAGTCTATGGACTGAAGGTTAACTTCCATGTCGCCATAGTGAGTATGGTGAACCACACTGCAGTTGGTGGGAGTGAACATGGAGACGCTGGTGAGGTATGTATATCTATAATCGAAAAATCCCATTTTACCCATAAGAGTGTCACATATTCATGCTTTCTTGTCATAGACAAATGCAGACCATTTTTTCCCATCTTGGGCCAATGCCCATGGGTACCGACTGTTTTTGCCTCATAGGTGCTGTAGCACCCGAGCACCCACGCATTCACCGAACCTTAAACAGCCTCTACACTATACCCGAGAGAAATCTTTTACGAAATATTATTTCTGGAAATATATCGTGAAACATTTCGCAAAACATTTCTGAAAATACTTTCAGAAGTAAAGTCAAATATAAGCCCGTGTTATAAAAATGAAATAGATCGAGACGCGCCGTGATTGGTTGTTTGTTTTTTATTGTTAACGCAGATTAACAATAAAAAACAGACAACCAATCACGGCGCGTCTTTAACAATAAAAAACAAACAACCAATCACGGCGCGTCTCGGTCTATTTCAGAAAACGTGGAAACTAATTTTTATAACACCAGCCTATATTTATCGTACTATTTTGCGAAATAGCACGAATCAATCAAGGTAAAACATTGTGGTGGCTTCAGAAAAATAAGTAAACATGGTGTATGAATAAATATCATTAATTTGTAATGGAGTGTAATATAATACCACTATATTAAACTGATATGAAAAATCAAAAACAGTGCATTTAGAAAATAGTTACCGATGGTAGATGAAATTGGCTATTACACTAAGGTTACACAACAATATTTACTTTTAATCATTGTCTAGCATTATTAATTACAATATAGTAAAAAAATATATTTCCAAAACTTAAAATCGTAAAACTGCAGGGCAATACGCAGTGACTAGCTGTCTGGCGGTCCGCCTTTTATAGGTTATAATCCACGGTGTTAAACTATTTAAAAAATCGTCTAACTACTTCTTATTTTTGATTGGATTTATATCAAACCATGTTATAATTAAAATATCTACTATTTAAATATCTACTCTACATATTATAAACGCGTGTTCAAATATTAATCTTGTGGAATATATATATATCAACATAAAACGAGATGTAATTAACGAAATATCATCGTAACAACAGCTATTTTAGAAACGTCTAGATTTACTTACTTTACTGAGATTTATGAAAAAAAGTCCTTTGCCTCGGGTACAGATACCGCCACGTTTTGGAAATAGCTCAAAAAGAAACAAAATTGGACGAGGCAACGGGAAACCCCAAAAAAATCCCCCCACGCCCTCCTCGCGAGTAGTTTTCAGGCGCTTTTAAGAATCGAAAGTATTTCGAGACAAACCGAAGTGGGTCAAGACAACTGGAAATAAACCGAAATGCGACAACGTTGGGCAACGAAATGTGACCTTGACCTGCTTCGAAGAGTTTTCTGCATGGTGTAGAGGCTGTTTTAGAGTTGCCAACTTTCAAAATAGAGGACGAGAGGGTAAAAAAGCACTACAGGAGAAACATTTTTTGAAACCTCATTCAAATGTAGTCAAGAATTTATCCAAAAGTTATGTAAACGTGTTTATTGCTCCACAAATACTTCTTGCCCTTAAATATTTCTGTTTTGTAGAAATGAGTGGGAGTAGTGAAAGACACTTAGTTATCAGATTAACAATTTCGATACGTATTTCTCTACCATGCTTAATAAGCATTGTAGCGATAGACGAATATTTATTAGATTTTGAGTTTGATATGTAAAAAAGAGGACTTTTTCAATACGTCTTCTTCTTCTTAATGTGCCTATCCTCTTTGGATGTTGGCCATCACATTGATCCATATTACTTTGTTTACTGCCGTTCTGAACAAAGCTGTTGACGTCATTCCGGTCCATGTTCTTAGATTTTGCAGCCACGATATTCGTCTGCGTCCCGCTGATCTTCTGCCTTCTATTTTCTCCTGCAGTATGAGTTGGAGTAGGCCGTATTTCTCGTTCTACATGATGTGTCCGAAGTATTCCAGTTTTCTGCGTTTGACATTCACCAGAAACTCCAACTCCTTCTTGATGCGGTGTAGTACAGTCACATTTGACACGCGATGCACCCACAAAATCCTAAGCATGCGCCGATAGCACCACATCTCAAATGCCTCCACACTTGCTCCACACGCTTGCATGATGCGTCTGTAAGGGTCCACGCCACTGCTCCATACAGAAGGGTTGAGAGCACGTAGCATCTCAGGATTCTGATTCTAGTGCGGAAGTTGAGGGACAGGTTGCGTATATTTCGCATTTTGTTAAATGTCCCTCTCACGATTTCGATTCGGTGTTTTATTTCGCGAGCGTGGTCCCAGTCTTTAGTCAGGGTGCAGCCCAGGTATGCAACTGTCTCGGTCGCTGGGAGAACAATGTTGTTAGCAGTGAACTGAAAGTTGTTGATGTAGTTCTTGCTAATGATCAACGTTTGAGTCTTCTTATAGTTCATCTTCATTCCGTATCTGCTGCATATATTCGCCACACGATCGAGCCTTTGGAGACCTTCAACGGTATGTGATTGGTTGTTTGTTTTTTATTGTTAACGCAGATTAACAATAAAAAACAGACAACCAATCACGGCGCGTCTTTAACAATAAAAAACAAACCAAATCACGGCGCGTCTCGGTCTATTTCAGGAAACGTGGAAACTAATTTTTATAACACCAGCCTATATTTATCGTACTATTTTGTGAAATAGCACGAATCAATCAAGGTAAAACGTTGTGGTGGCGTTTGAGTCTTCTTATAGTTCATCTTCATTCCGTATCTGCTGCATATATTCGCCACACGATCGAGCCTTTGGAGACCTTCAGCGGTAGCGGCCAACAGGACGGTATCATCTGCATCTCTCAAATTGTTTATTATTTCTCCATTTATAATTACTACCCCTTCCTGTGTGCCATCCAGTACCTCTCTAAATAGATGTTCCAAGTACACATTGAATAGCAGAGGAGACAGTATACAGCCCTGTCGCACTCCCCTCCTTACACTAAACTCTTCTGAAGTTTCGTTCTCGATTTGAACCACGGCCTTTTGTTGACGATAAAGTTTTGCTATTATCTCTGTATCTCTATCGTCTATTCCTGATTCCTGTAAAATCGAGATGAGTTTGTCATGCTGGACTCTATCAAAGGCCTTTTCGAAGTCTATGAAGCACGCAAACACATCTACATTGACGTAGTCAGATTCAATACGTCAGAGAAAAGAAAACAGTGCGATAAAAAAGGAATGTCCTTTGGAATAGAGGACGGTTGGCAACCCTACTGCATTTTTATTGGTTTATAAACAGTTGGATTCACTTAAGCCAGTAAACCATATCAAAACATATCTAATCTAGTGTAAAAACACACCTGAAAAAAATAGTATACTAATAATTATCTCTTCTAATACTATCAGACACCGAAAGTGATGCCATGTGTGTATCATTATTTTATCGTTTTATCTCTTTGCCTGTAGACCATAACAAAAAAAGTACATAATTTTGCTGCATAAATAATTTACTATATCAGATAATGGCTATGATATATAATTGTTTTTATTAGATGCAGTATTGGGGGAGGGTTAATGATAACAATGGTATTGACTCGAGAGAATTAATGCGTGATGCGTACAATATGCAACAGTAATTTTTTTTCATATAGAGATAGATACATATCAGTAGAAAATGTAATTATTGCATACAAATATGTTTAGATAAACACATAGAGTGTAATGACATGCTACTATTTTTAATATTCTCTGTCAATGCCAGATAATTATAAAAATCTGCACTAAAGAAACATGATCCAAATATAGAAACAGTGACAACAGTGACAACCAAACTAAACCAAACCAAATACTGTTTTTTCCTACCGCCCTATAAACCTATAAACGCATTGGGGATGTGGGTATATCGACGGTTGCTGCGAATACCATGGATAGCTCATCGAACAAACATTTCCATTATAGAGGAACTAAAAACTGAGACACGTCTGATTACCAGATTAAATCAGTCAATCCTCCGATATTTTGGCCATATTGCCAGGAGTGGCACCTCAATTGAAAGACTGATGGTGGAGGGGAAGGTAGAGGGACGACGGTGGCTAGACCAAGTCAAAACCCTAGTGGGCCACAACCTCCCCGAAGCTTCACATATGGCGCAGTGTCGAACAACTTGGTCCGAGGAAGTGAGGGGAATCAACACATGATGTCACCATACTCTCACGTAGGGTGAAGGACTGAAGAGAGATATGCAAAATATAAAAGACAACCCTCTTAACTGTTGTAAGAGAAAATGTAGTCCATCTAGAAAGTATCCGGAAAAAAGAAAGCAAAATTAAAATTAAAAAAAAATTATCGATATATATTTTTAGGACTTCAGTTAAAAAAATTATAACAAATTATTAATTTTATTTACTTATACAACCTATTTAACTCTAAAGACTTAACTAAACGTCCAGGTACACCCGAAACTAGGTCCACACCATAATGTTCAGTGGCGGAAGTCCAGGCCTGCAAAACTGAGCGAATCAAATCTTGTTTATTTCGTGGAGCTGCTCGTTCCACTTCAATCTTCATTAGTCTCCATATGTTTTCAATGGGAGTAAGATCTGGTGAAGCTGTTGGCCATGGAAATGTTGCCAAATGGTATTCTTCCATCCAAGCTTGAGTATAGGCAAACGTATGGCATCTTGCATTATCCTGCTGAAAACGCCACCCCTCTGGATATAAAACATGAGCCATTTTAAGAAGAAAACTATTTAAAATATCACAATATTTTGCACTATTAACAGTTCAATCAACTATACACAGAGATGTAGCACCACGCTGAGATATTGCTCCCCAAACCATTATTTTAGTGGGAAATTTTGAAACTTGAACGGTAGGTAACATTTTCTTTTAATAGGATTTTTAGGTGGTTTCCACCAAGCTGTGAACAACTTGCGTCAGAAATAAAAATATTAAAATTATCTTCTTGAAAACGTTGACAAAAATCCATTCTTCGCTGCCTTTCTAGAAGTGTTATTGCAGAGATTTTTTTGGCCCCCTTGACATGTAACCTTG